ACATAGTGGTTGAATTTTTGCCCCGATGTTACTATGACACGGTACGGTCGAGTTAATTTATAAAAAATGATCATAGTTTTTTTTTTTTTTTTTTTTTTTTAAATTATTTTCTTTCTCTAATAAAATCTAAAATTCTAAACATGTGCCCAGAATTTTATTCTCTAAAAAATACACATTAATTTCTTTAACAAATATAACTCCTCAAGTTCCTAATAGAGTTTAAAGTCTCACCCTATCACTAAAGATAGCATGAGTGGGACTGTGGGCCGTGGGAGTGTTATATCCATCATCTAACTCACTTCATATTTTTTCCAACCACTCCCATCCCAACTCGTATTAAGTAGACTTTTTCAAAACTCACCTCCACCCCCAACGGGTGCGGGTGCCACTATGAGTACTCACCACTTATTATCTTATTATTTTTTTAAAAAAATAATATTTAAATTTTACCCATAATAAAATAATAAAATTCATTAGTTATACTAAAATATAAAATAATAAAAATATTTAAATAGTAAAAAATTAGACGAAGTTATAGAAACTTTTATAAATAACTACATATTAGTACTTATTTTACTATTATACACACATACACACATTGTGAGTTGGGTGGGATTCTAGACGGATTTTGTATATAGAACCGGAATCCAATCTGATCCACCACATGTTTACTTTTTTAAGACCTACCACCCACTTTCATCCAAAAAAAATCCAATCCATGCTACCACGGGAAACAAGGTTAACATTGATTGAAGAACCACTTGATGGGCTATCCTGATATTTTTTGAATGCTACTGGCTCTATTACATTATAGTATCTGTTCATATACTTTTTCAACCAACTGAAACACAAAGAACCAATAACGCCTCCACTAAAACTCGAACTCACAATCTTCCAAATGAAAATTCAATACGGATACCATTAGACCACATAGTCCTGGTGAATAAAACAGTATATATTCATTAAAAATAGATTGAAAAAAATATTATTCTATTATTTGGTAAGTCCTTTTATTTTCAGGAATAGTATTATCGAGAAAGAGCTATTCCCCTTGTAATGGAATAACTATTTTTAAAAGAGCATGATATTAGTTTTTGTAATGTCTAATTTGTCTTAAATTATTTTTGTTATATATTAAAATTTTATTTTTTAATAAAACAAATAATAATTAAAATTTTATTATTATTATTATTAATTTCTTTAGGAGGTCTGATCTATTCCACTTTTATTTCTTAACCCAACCAAATATTAAAATACAATTTATTAATTTTATTCCTTTCACAATCCAAAGAATGGTATACAATTTCTTATTCTATTTCTTGTATATATTCTATTCTCTATTGAATATGATTTCTACTCTTGCAAAATTCATTCCATAAATCAAACTTGTTGTAATAAGAGATTCACAATGTAAAATTTTTAGGAAAATTAACTAAATTGACGTTTAAAATGATAATTTTGTTGTATAATTTTCAATGTAATTCACTTCTAATATGGATCGGATCAAAGTGTATTTGAATTATCTTAGGTGAGAGGTTCAATTTGATATATTATACATTCGGATAATGAAAATGATAAATTAATATTCAATGTACTATTTTAGTTGAGAATGTTTTTGGTAGCTTTTGTCAACATTGGAAAGGAATGTGAGTTTACACTAATATATATATATATATATATATATATATATATATATACGAATTAATACCCGATTTAGTCCCTCGACTATTAGGATTTATCCACTTTGGTTCTCGAATTCTAAACTTACTCAATTTCATCTCCAACTATGTAATTGTTAACCAAAATAGTCCTAATCAAGACTATTTTGGTTTGGACAAAGGACAATTTAGGTAAAAATTGCATAGTTTGGGATCAAATTGAACAAGTTTGAAAGTCGAGAACCAAAGTTGTGAATGTGAAATCCTAATAGTCGATGGTCGATGGACCAAATCGGGTATTAACTCTCTATATACAATTCAACATTTTAAGGAATTTGAATTGTATAAAATAGAGGTTCTCTCTAGCTTAAAGTGGGTGCAAATCAAATTGCTACTAATTAAGAAACGGATCTTTTTTTTTTTTTTTTTTTTTTTTTAAAGTGTGATCCGCACGCCTTGAATTTTCAGTTTATTATTTATTTAGACTTGATTTTTTGAGAAATTTTATTTTAAATTTTGTAAAAATTCCCTACAATTTGATGATAAGCTACACCTTTCAAATTGTAAAACAATTACACTTTAATTTCATCGTCCTATCCCCAAATAAATAAACAAACAAACATTTTTTTGCAAAATTTTATAATATTATTAGGGTTACAATACCATTTTGTAAAATTATAACTTGTATTTTGTCTATATGTAAAAGAATATATATATATATATATATATATATATATATATATATATATATATATATATAGGAAAAAGTTCAAATGCGACAGGGTCTTCCCGTGCGGCGGTGCAGCGAAATTTCAGAATAAACCAACAGTGTTAACAATATGCACCAGCAGTGTAAGGAAAACACACCACAATGAAATGCAATAAAACATCAAAAAATACACAACAAACCCAAAAAAATGGTGTATTTCCGAACACTGTATGGTGTTTTTACTCACACCTAATGATGTATTTTTGGTAATGCGTACCTAATTTGTCTCTGTTTTTATGGTGTATTTTCTTAACGTTGATGGTGTATATTTGTTGAAATATTGGTGATGCCGCACCGCCGGACCTGAACTCACACACACACACACACACACACACACATATATATATATATATATATATATATATATATATATATATATAATTAGGTTCTGGTGCGGCTAGCAGCACCAGGTGCGATTGTGCGGTGAGAGGAGAACCATTGATTTTGTTTAAATCAACATCTAGGATTACCAAAACTTAAAAAAAAAAAAAAAAAAAAAATCGTGGAGGCAATTTTTTAATTTTTGTAACTAGGTCAAATTTAAGGTGCGTGATTTTTGTGTTTAAGGTGTGTGCTTAAGGTGTTTGTGTGTTTGTGCTTAATGTGAGTAGTTGTTGAAACTTAAGGTGCGTGAGTTTTATGCTTAAGATGCGTAAATTTTGTGCTTATGGTGCGTGGGTTTGTGCTTAAGGTGCGTCATGTTTCTTCTTTGCACACCATTCTCTTTGAGTCACGGGTAGTTCAGACCCTCAAGAAGAACCAACTTTTGAACTGAGGGGTGGTTCAGACCCTTAAGAAGAACAAAATTTTTGAACTGAGCGGTGGTTCAACCCTCAAGAACAAAACTTAGGGTCCGTTTGGAAAGCAGGAAAATGACTTCTGGAAAATTGGTCATTTTCCGAAAAACATTTTCCTTTCTAGTATTTGGCTGCACAGCGGAAAAGTATCTTTGTGTGTTTGGTTCATTTTCGGGAAAATGAGGTAGAATTGTATAATTAAACATTTTATATAATTAATTATTTTATTTAAAATAAAAATATTTATAATAATATTTATTTATTTTTGAAATCAAATAATATTAATTATTAAAAAGTAAAAAAAAAAAACAAAAATAAAAACAAAAACAAAAAAACGGTGGAAACCAGAGAGAACTCTCTGGTTTCCACAGCCGAAAACCAGAGTAGATATCTTCCTCGTTTTTTTTTTTTTTTTTTTTTTTAAGGTTTCCGGCGGAACCATAGGTCTGATTTTCGCCGGAAACCACAGGTCTAGTTTCCGGCGGAAACCAGACCACTGGTTTCCATAGCCGGAAACCATCGTAGATCTCTTTCTCTCGTTTTTTTTTTTAAAGGTTTCCGGCGGAAACTAGTGGTCTGGTTTCCGCCGGAAACAACAGGTATGTTTTCCGCAGGAAACAACAGGTCTGGTTTCCGCCGGAAACAACAGGTCTGGTTTCCGCCGGAAACAACAGGTCTGGTTTCCGCCAGAAACAACAGGTCTGGTTTCCGCCGGAGACATTGTTTTATGGGCGAAAACCATTGTTGGTGGAGAAGTGTTGGTAGTTCTCTGTTGAATGTTGAAGGAGGAGGTGAAGTGGGAGAAGAAGCAGTGAAGGCTTGAGCGTGTGTTGATGTTTAGATTGGAAGATGGAAAATGACTTCCCCCCCCCCCCCAAAAAAAGGGAAAGTAATTTTTCGGATCTTAGCCCTCATTTTCCATTGACTAGCTAGCATTTTTCTTTGACCATTTCATTTTCAACCTTCCCAAACACCAAAAACCCGGAAAATGATTTCCAGAAATCATTTTCCGGGTTTCCAAACAGACCCTTAATGTGCGTCATTTTAACACTTAAGGTGTGTTGTTATAACACTTACGGTGTGTTGTTCTAATACTTAAGTGCGTCATGTTTCTTCTTCGCGCACCATTCTCTGCGAGTCACGGGTAGTTCATACACTCAAGAAGAACAAAACTTTTGAACTAATGGGTGGTTCAGACCCTCAAGAAGAACAAAACTTTTGAACTGGGGGGTGGTTCAGACCCTCAAGAACAAAACTTTTCAACAGAACTTAAATGTGCGTCATTTTAACACTTAAGATGCGTTGTTATGACACTTAAGGTGCGTTGTTCTAATACTTAAGGTGCGTGTTTCTATCACTTAATGTGCGTCATTTTTAGCTCCTTTCTTTCATACACACGTTTTTTTGTTTTTTGTTTTGTTTTTTTTTTTTATTTTATTTTTTAAATTTTTATTGATTTAAGCCATCAACCGCACAACCACACTTGAACCCTTCCATATATATATATATATATATATATATATATATATATATATATATATATATATATATATATATATATAATTTTAAGTAATTTTATATATATATAATTTTATAAAATACAAAACACACCCACAATATTAAAATTATTCCAACTGGCTTCCCAATTAAATTTGGGCGTAATTGAGGGCAGAAGTAGGTGAACCGTCCGAATAGTCTCATTCCTGGTCTATATATAGTAATTAGTAAAATATTATTAATGACCATATTAGCAAATTTTATTTTTTTAAAATTTTCTTCTCTCACAAATGGCCGAACGCCATACTTTTCACGTACAAAATCAAACTTTCCATTATATATATATATATATATATATATATATATATATATTTCCCCAAGTTTTCCATAATACAGAACAGAACAGATACTCTCTTCTCCACCTCAGTTTCTGATCTTCCATTTTCAAAAGAAAATTGGCAGTGATGGAGGAGAATATGGGAATTGGGGAAAATAATGGGCAGAAAGTGGAAGACGCAGAAAGCTTTAGCCTTCAAGAGAGGAACAAAGTTGAGCTGATGAGAGCTGTTGTGCAGAAACAAGATCCATCTTCTCAGGTCTCAATTTTATAATTTCTCAGCTTTAATTTCTTCTTTTTTGGTTTCCTATCTCTATGGTCTAGGCTAAACTTTCTGGTGTCTAAGAATGCAGTGCTTTAATCTGTGCTTATAAATGCATGTTGTTCCTTGGTTCTTGAATTGTCTTGCTTTCAGCTCCTAAAAATGCCCTACTTTGTGTTGTTTAGTGTTTGTAACACTTGATTTTCATGTGTGAGCAAAGATCACCTCAATTATTTGAAATTCTTATAGTTTGTGTTATATATTCCGTTAATGGTTTGAAAAAATTTCGTTACTTTGAGAACTTATCATGACCACGCGTTGGGTGTCGGTCGGGTCGACCTAGTTCAGCCCTGCTCGATTCGAGACAAGGTGCAGCCCTGCTTGATTCGAGACGAGGTGATGTGACTTACCATGGAGGAATGTACTTAAATAGTTAATGTTTACCTATATATCTTCAATTTGTTTTAAGAAGTATATACATGCCAACTAGATAACCAAAAAATTTTGTAGTTAAGTCTGCTTGACTTATAAGATGGGTGGATATTGAAATAATTTACAATGGCATTTGTTCATTATAGCATGGGACTAAAACGACTAAACACTAACCATTGAAGAATCAAAACCACAACCATTGAAGAATCAAAACCACACGTTTCCCTATTTCTAATTGGGCAAAAATTTGTGTAATCGAGACTGTTTTGCAGTTTCTTGTCCGTGAGATAGGTCAGGTTGAGATGAAATATACTACTTATACTAGATAGCAAATGTAATACTAAATCAGAAATAACATGCTTATTATTTATATAGAAAAATGTAATACTTTTACATTTTTTCTTTATGAGTGCAACATTACTTATAAGAAAAAATGTAATACTTTTGATGAAAAATGATATACTTTCACATCAAATTATAAAAGTATTACATCTGTAAATCAATTACCAATTACAAAATTCCTCATCAAACCTTGACTAAGACTTGGACACATTTTCCATCTTCTGTCTTGACTTTATTTTTTCCAAAACGAACCTCTAGTCTTTAGACATCAAACTTGACCAATTTTGTATCACATATTATCACAGGAAGTTGACGATTACGCAATGAGAAGATTTCTTCGTGCACGTGATCTAGACATTGAAAAAGCTTCTGCCATGTTGTTAAAGTATCTCAAATGGAAGCGTACATTTATGCCAAAAGGTTGTATTTCAACCTCAGAAATACAAAATGAAATAGCCCAAAACAAGATGTTTATGCAAGGAGTGGATAAACAAGGACGTCCCATTGCGGTTGTTTATGGTGGTAGACATCTACAAAACAAAGGTGGACTCGAAGAATTTAAACGTAAGCTCTTTTTCTAACAGTTCGTGTTCATTTTTTGTCTCGATTTAAGAGATATTACGTTGCAAATTTAATTAGAAAAATGATAAATTTTGCAACATAAATTATAACGTAAGGACGAAAAGTGAGCACGTACGACTAACAAGTAGTGATGAATCTTACAATTACCATATAAGGACAAAAAGTGCCATTTTTTGAAGGTTTGAAAACAATTTGGATGGATTAAAAAAGTGGCTGTAAATTTAAAAAAATGACATAAATTAACCAATCATCGCTTTAAATATATTATTTTCTATTTTTTTTTTGTATAAATAAAATCAATATAGAAAAAATATATCATTGAAATCTTTTAAATGACAGTCATATTCATATACTATTTCAATATATTGTGTGATGAACCTTTAATACTAGTGACTTAATAAATATACAATAGTGATTTTATGAACATCTAAGTTCATTTATTATAATTTATAAACACTATAAAAAAACAAAAATCAATGGTGTCATTAATATATTTCAATTAGAATTTTTTTAATGATTTTTTTTATGCTTTAATGTTATTTGTACAAAAAGATAAAAAAGAAAAATATATTTAAGTTTTAGAAAATTAGGAGATAAGTTAGTGGTTAAAAGAAACCTAGAGAATTTCCAACCATTTTTCTACCATGGTTGGTAGTGGTAAAAAAAAAAAGAAAAAAAAAAAAATCATTTATTTTGTAGGTGGTTAGAAATACCAATTTTCAATTCCAGCTGTATATTTAGATTGAGTTCTTAAATTGGCTAATCAATCACACTAAATCACGTCAACAATATTTAATTCGGTCCAGCTTGTATCACATTTGTTAAGAAATTACTATACATGGACCGACCAGTATTAAATAGCTTATAAATATTAGTGAATAATAATTCACTGTTAGTTGCAAGTCAGATTTCACTTAAATGCATTACAACCACCACTCACCACCAGCATTCACTCTTGGTGTAGGGATTATGTCCAAAGTAGACAGATCCTTTATGCACATGAACATTTGACACTGTCTGTTGAGCCATTGAGTCACCGTGATTTTTATCCTCCCAAATTCTCTATCAGGTCGAGATGTGGGACCATTAAGATTGGAGATTCTGAGATTCAACTAACCTTTTGGGAGAAGCATTCACTCTTGGCTTCTTTTGATTTTCAGGTTATGTAGCTTTTGGTTTGGACAAATTATGTGCAAGGTAAAATTTTATGTGAATTTTTATGATCCTCTTTCTCTGTATTTTTATTTTTCAATTTCTAACAAATTTTATGTGAAATTTTGGGAAATTTTTAAGGACATCACCTGGCAAGGAGAAGTTTGTTGTGATTGGAGATCTTGAAGGTTTTGGGTATTCAAACAGTGATGTCAGGGGATATCTTGCATCTCTATCTATTCTACAGGTTTATCTCTCTTATAGATTTTATGCAAATCTTTAGTGAAATTTTGGATTACACTAATTTTACATGTATTCTCAATTTCTATTCTCATCTTTTACCTTAGCTTCTATATATAATGTGGCATGCTTTAATTACTCAATTTATTAGAGAGATCATGATGTTTATTCATTTTTTTTTCCTCTAATCAAATTTGAACATAAGTGTGAGTAAAAGTTAGAAGTAAGTTTTTGGAGTACGACCATGTAGTATTTTTATTGATGACATATATGAGTTCTACTATATGTATTTCCAAATTCTGCTTCTTCACTTTTACTTCAAATTTGTGATATCACATCAGATTTTATTGTAACTTAAACACACCGACCAAACTTCTAATTTCAGAACTTTGTGACACGTTTAAATACTAATTTTTTTTTTTGTCAATGACCTTGTGGTCTAGTGGCTCTCCTAAATAGAAGGTCATGGGTTCTTTGTGCTCCAGTAAATTAAGAAAATAACTATGAACAAATACTATATTATAACAGAATCAGTAGTATTCAAAAAAAAATTCATTTATTTTTTTTTCAAAATGTTAAAATTAATAAATGATAAATATTGATATGACATTTCATAAATGCTTGTCCCCCTATCCAAACGAGACATGACATGCATACCATTATTATGTTATATAGGACATGAATACCATTATTAGGTTGTAGAACACTATCATTCATAATATTTTATCCAAGTATTTGTATTTTATAACTGTAAGTCTGTAACTTTTATACGTAAAAATATGGAAATGAAGATATAAAGCACACATAATTAAAAATGTTGTACGTCACTGCAGACTCCCTTTACGTGGGAGAAATGACACAAAATTTATAAGGATTTCAACTATAAGACACCGTTTACTTTTATTCTTAATTTTTTGTTGTTCTTTTTTGCTTTTTGTTAATGTATAAATAAATATATTCTCTCTTTTTTTTTTTTTTTTTTTTAATCTGTCTGAAATTTGTTGTGAACAATGACAGGATTTCTATCCAGAAAGATTAGGAAAATTGTTTGTTGTCCACGTGCCTTACCTGTTCTGGACATTGTACAAAATTGTGTGCCCTTTCATTGACAACAATACCAAGAAAAAGGTGAGGCTCTTTATTGTGGTATTTTCTTTAATACTAGTGATTCTGTTCAACTTATTAAGTACATAGAGTCAATATTAAGATACAAACTTATGATTTTCTGTTTGAGAAGGTTACAGTTATACTGTTTGATCATAAAAAATTTTTAGCTTGTTGCAATATATTATTACATTAATTCTTGAAAATAATTTACCGACGTCTCATCTAACATGATTTCACTTAGTTAATTTAGTCAATTTAAAATAATCAATTAAATAAATTGTTATACCATGAACCAGCAAGGTGGACCCTGATCATAAATTGTGTATTTTTATTATTGGAATTGTGAATATCAAAAATATAAATTGTGTTTCTAAGTTTTGAGAATTTGTGAATAAAACACAAGGTCATCACAAATTGTGAATTTTTAAAATATAAATTATATATCTTTGGACGTAGGTTCACCTTGCAAGGTGCATCTAAATCCACAAAATAGTTTACCCAATTAAATATATATTCCATATAAAAACTTTATTGCCTCTTTAGTATCAGGGAAAATTTTCTACTTCTTAACTCCATTTTTTCCAATTCTTTTCGCTTTTTCATTTTCCAAAAGTGGGCCAACATGGATAAAAATAACTTAATTACTACAAAACACAAGTTAACAGTTCTATGTTTTTAAAGTTTTTTTTTTTTTTCAAAAAAAAAAAAAAAAAGGTTTTTCATTTGGTGTTACATGTTATTCTTAAGTGATAGACATATGTCATCATGAATTAAGTAACTAATTGTACATTTGTACTTCTTCTGTTCCAATTTTATAGAGATGTTTAACAATTAGCTATTTATTGTACAATAGTATTAGCGATCTGTATAAAAATGTTTGATAAATTAACTCATTACATGTAAAATGACTTATAAGAACATGATGAATTTATTGTTTAATTTATTTAATTAACTAACCTTAAATTATTTTAAATATGATATAATTTTTAAAATAATTTAATAATAATATTATTATTAGTATAATTATTATAAATAATAAAACTTAAATTACTGTTATTTAGAAAATAAGAGAGCCTGCAAGCTCCTTTAATTTCACTTTCTCTGATCCCACATCTATAAAAGAAGTAGAAAGGAGCCTTGACTTAGACTCTCTATTTAAGGAATCTGAAGACTCCTCAAATTACCCATTCGATATGTATTCCACATTGATGAGTGTTGTTTAGAGGAGCCTCAACTCTAGTAAAACCAATTTATTATTATTATTATTATTATTATTATTATTATTATTATTATTATTATTATTATTATTATTATTATTATTATTATTATTATTATGGGTTGCAGATCATATTTGTAGAAAATAAACGGCTGACGTCAACTTTGTTGGAAGATATTGATGAGAGCCAGCTCCCAGAGATCTATGGAGGCAAACAACCCTTAGTCCCTATCCACAATGCCTAATAATAAATCAGTATTAATTGTACTCTTTTAACTATGGTTAAATTTGGAATTGGATCTACTTAAGAATACCGTATTCTTATTTCCAAGTATTACTCCATCTCCATCGGTGCCTATGTCATTTGACATGTATGTTTATTATTTATGAATCAAATTAATTTTTCTTACTCTAATTCACTTTTTTTAAAAAAAAAAAATAGTTTTTAATTTGACTTTTATATTTTATAAGCTAATATATAAAATAAATTTATTAAAAAAAATGAATTGTAAATAATATGAGCTAAACTTCATTAACATATAAGATGAGACAAGACCCACACAGATTGCTCTAATTTTCATCATTTTCTAATGGTTCCCCGTATCAAGCTCTGTTCGCATATTGGTTTTATTATTGATTTTTGTTGGGATATTATGTCTATTTTTTCTGTTTGCTCTATTAGTTTAGTCCATAGATCTTCTAATATCGTAACACATTCTCTTGCCTCTTTGGATTATAGTCAAACCAGTTCATTGTATTAGGACTATGCCCCTCCTGACTTCATTTCAGCTTTTATGTAATAATAAAGATTGTTTTATTGCTTTTTAAAAATATATATAAGATGAGACAAAAGAAATATTAATTAATTTTAATTATGGATCTAAACTTAATTGTGTCATTGCATAGTAGATTGATTTAAGGGAAGATTGTAATTTATGTCATTCCATAATATGTCAATTATCAATGTGAGAACCAATTTCAATCCTTTATCTAGATTAGTGAACGGTGCATGTCATATAACACAATACACACACGTTAGTTGTATGTACACTGCGTCCTGGGTTAATGTTTTCCGTGCACCATGTTCTAGCCATTGCATGATGCAACATCAAGGGTGTGCACAAGTTCTCAAGTTCAGACAATAAGGTAGGTTCTCACCTGAACACAAACCTCTTTGTGTGAGAGAGAGAGATTGCTATGTTGTTGAGTATTCACACATGCATGCAAAATGCTTCAATGCTTTGAAATGGACATATTTATATATCAGACAAGATTTTTATTGTCGAGAATAACTATAGTGTAGCAGGTTAAACACCGCGATAAGTCTTAAGAGCGCAGGAGAGTCCGCGATTCTCCTCTTTACTGAAAAAGTCGAGATAATAGATGTGATCAAACGGCTTAAACTGCAAGGGATGATCACCATCAACCAATTGTGTGAGAGTTTGAATCATGGTTTTCTCCATGAAGGAGAACTCAGCAATAGAGTATCTAGCTTGGACCATTCCCTTCCATCATCACTCTTGTGATAGGGAGATTTTATTCTGTTTTTGCTCCATGCCTGCTCCAAATACATTTCACTTTTCTATTATTAATATATAAATTATATAATATTTTAATAAAACAAAGAATATTTAAAGAAACAATAAAAAAATTAAAAATTAAAATTAATTATTAAAAAAAAATCGTCAATTTTTTACTATCTTTTCCAACTATTTAAAAAGTAGACAGAAATTTAGAAAGGTGTTCAACTTTTTTCACCCTTGTTGATAGCGATCGGTGCTACTAGTCACTTTCTATTGGTGATTGAAAATAGTAATAAATATTTTTAATTTTTTTTTAAAGTGGTTAGGAAGTTGGTCAAAATTTAATTTTAACGGTAAATCCTATGTTTCTGACCATTTATATATGTAGATCAGACACCTACCATTTCATGAGATCATTTTGATAAGTGTCCATAAATAAATACAAATAAAACAAGAATAAGTCTTGATCACTTATTTTTTTTAGCTAAAATGTAATAATCTTTATGAGTGTATAAAAAAGTATGACATTTTAATTAAAAATTATTATACGTGTGTCTCAATTGAGACCAACCGCGTCACATATGACTTACTCATAAAATAAATTAAAGGAATAAGGTTCAAATTGGCCACTGAACGTAACCTGAAAATGCAATTAGGCCACTGAACGAAAAAAAGTGCAAATTAGGCCACTGAACACTCCAAAAATGTGCAATTTCACATGATAGCAGGTTACCCTCAATTTTAGCAGGTTATCTGCTTACGTGGCAGCTGAGTTGGCATTTTTAATAAATTTTAATTAATTTTTAATAAATTTTAATAATAACTTTTTATTAAAAAAATTTTAAAAAAATAAAAATGACTTTATTTTATTTTTTATTTAATTTTTTCCAATTTTTTATAAAATTTATTATTAAAATTAAAATTATTTAAAAATTATTAAAAATGCCAACTAAGCTGCCACGTAAGCAGGTAACCTACTAAAATTGATGGTAACCTGCTATCCGGTAAAATTGCATACGTTTGGAGAGTTCAGTGGCCTAATTGCACATTTTTTGAGTGTTCAATAGCCTAATTGCATTTTTTTTTTTTTCGTTCAGTGGCCTAATTGTATTTTCAGGTTACGTTCAGTGGCCAATTTGAACCTTATTCCTAAATTAAACAAATAAGAAACGTGGGATTCATAATACTTCTCTACGCCATAGCTCTCAAACACCATTTCTTCTAGCTCCGCTGCTAATTTTGAGTACACCACCATTGCCTCACTGTACAAACACGTACACAATATATATAATGGTTGGTATTATTGAAGTTGACAATATATATAATTCAAAGAAAAGTAATATATGTAACAAACATGAAACTAACGTCTTCTAGTTCTAAACAAATGAATTGTTCGAAGAGGCCGGCAATCACAGCCAAATTATTCATGTTGTTGACTTGGTAACCACAATATTACAATTCAAGTTCGTCTCAAATTTGTGGAATATAATAGTTGGCCTTCGTGGTTTGAAATAGTCAACTATAGACAATCGGCCTAGCTATATTGGCAACCTTTGGTCTTTTGCTGACTAGGGTCACAATGCCAAGTGGAGAAACCTATTGATTTTCTTGGTCCCACTATTAATTACCACAGGCTTACAAGTTCGATTCTCGTAGAAGCGGCTATTGGCTTTCTTGGTTTGAGCTGCTATGGAAAGCCTAGACTAATTTACCTCCGACCTTGTAATTCTTTGCCAGCTAATTCATAATGCGAAATTTATCATATGCACACCCTTGGGTAATGATAGCGAGTTTCCCTAGTCACTAAAAAAAAAATTGAATTGAATTAGCTAATAATTAAATGATACCTGAAATCAACATTCCCATGAGGCTACATGAGTTTTGTGAAGCTCTGAATTCATTGAAGAGTATTTGCATGATCAATGCCCATGCTCTCATAAAGATGAACAATCCAAGGCAAACACACAAAGGAAGTAAGGGGAACCAAAAGATATACCATGGAGTTCAAAATACATGGTGAAATCTTAGGAGCATAGAGGAACACCAATCTAAACCCCTGGAGGGGAGCTCAACGCGAGCTGTTTAGTGCTAGCAGGGTGCTAAATCGGGTCGGTCATGTCACCAGGTATATGAATGTCCAATAGGTGAGGATACATCGAGGGGGTCTCTTTCACGTGCCTCCAAGGGGACATTACCAACATGAGAGGAGGCAGTCTCTAGCAAGGATGCACGGAGGGGTTGTAACAAGTAATTATTCTCGTAATTTTGAGTAGGATTTTGGTTCGGGACTACTCTCATTCGCTGACGAAAATTCGCAACTCGAAGAGTGGGGGACTGATGATGGATATATTAGAGATGGACCCAGACCAAATCGACCCGAGGAGAAGTGGAGGCGACCCGGAGGATGACCCAGGCTGGGGGCGACCTCAGCCTGGGTTGGCCTCTGCTTGGGGCAGCCTCGGCCTCGGGGTGGCATGGGCAAGAGGTGGCCTCGGCCGGGGTGCCCACCTTGCGTGCTACTAGCGTGTCAGTCAATAAGATCCAACCACCCACCCTATTCTCATGGGGCAGTTAGGAGGAAGCTTAGTATAAAAATGCTCATTATTGTCTAGTTGGGGACATCTCTTATCATGTTCAATCATTAGATTTGCTTGTAATCTTACTACAACGCTATTATTTAACAAGAATTGTATCCATGACATATATTTCTTATCTTTTCTTATTTTATTATATATATACTTATTCCTAATATTATAAGGTTTAGTCACCCAAGTTAATACTCCATTACATTGTAGTATGTAAATGTACTAATACAGAGTTAACAATGCCTCCACTGAACCTCACTATAAGCCATTTGAGCACAAGGTGCTTGCCATTACGATGAGTATTTAATGCTTAGTAAATACAATTACAAAAACTCTAACAAAACGCAATGATGTCCCTAGAACCGAGATCAATTCAACCCCATTTACTCTTTTTTTTTTTTTTTTTTTTGGGTGTAGTCCACTAGTGCATACAGTGATTAATCTCCTCGCTAAATTGTAAGTATCTCTATGAGGTGGAGTAGTTGACTTGAAAATTTAAGAATGCTCCATATTAAGGTCAAGGATTGAACCATTGACCTTTTGGTTAAGAATGAATGAGTCCCTTCCATTCAACTCCATTTTGGTGCACATTAATGTATGTTCAAATCTTGTACCTATTCTTTGGTACATTTAAATGAATTGAGGATCAAACTGATAATATTTTGATGTAAAATTCATTAATCATGACGGAAAATATGGTTACAGGATAATATTAGGAATTTAAAGAGTCGTATTGCTTTATAGTTTCAATACAACTATTGATCAGTGTGTCCTCTGTAAGCTACACATTTATCTTCTCCTAAAATGTTGAATCCCTAACCCTAAGGGTCCCCCACACTCCGACCCGACAGAGCATGTTGGAGAGCTACATGTTTTTCTATTTATACTAACTAGTGCCTCCAATAATGTCTCCTTGCTCCAGTAACAGTTCCCTTAGTAATGAGGAGCCGAGCGTGCATTGAGTGCGGCCTTATCATAATTGCCTCCTGTTGAATAGGTCGATGCTTCATTAAATATTTTCGCTATGTGTCCGTTGGTCTTTTCAAGTATCCTGTCACCGGCCCTACTCTTGAGTCATCCACAAAGGTATTTGAGCTAACATGGGAGTAATAATATTGGTTGATTTAAATTACTCTAAGATTTTAATTGTTTTAGGAATCTTGATTATTCCTTTCAAAAAAAAAAAAAAAGTATTGATTCTTTTTTATTCCCCAAATATTTCCTATTATTTATTTTATTTCTAAATATTTTTTTTTTAAAAATGGTCAATAATAGCGTATAAACTAAGGAACCCACAGTCAGATAATAGTAATCTTCACTGCACAGCCTTCAAGTAGAACTAACTGGTTCAGCCAGCCATATGGATTTCAAGATGGATGAACAACACCTCAATTTAAACAGCCAGCCCCAAAATGAAGAATATAATGCCTCCAATAAGTATAGATTGGCTTTTTAATTTACCAAATTACGTACATATGTATATGTATAATGTATATAAACCATCAAGAACAACACAAATAAAGCCAGATAAGAAAGAATGAAACACATTTATCAATGTTTGAACTTTGAACACTCAACATTCAATAAGAAATCCGAAGCATACCTTTTGTTCCCAAGATCAAGAAAACTATGAAAACGAAACCAAAGATGTAGATCTGTCAGCCATATGGATTTCAAGATGAAAAACAGCCCCAAAAGGAAGAATGCTTCCAATAAGTATAGTATAGAAAAGGCAGGTTTCATGTGATCTTATTCGTCTTTACTGGGTCTATATCAAATAATGTGTTTATACAAAATGTTTGAATGGAAAGAAGAAGATTACCTTGAAAACTGCTTTCATGTTTTCTGGAATTCTTTTTGCTGTCTTCTTTGTACTGAATGCTCTGATCTAGGTTATTTAGGTTATAAAAAGCCAGCAAATTTTGTGTAGTTAAAACTAATTTTCTTTATATATATATAATGTATAAGCCATCAAGAACAATTTAAAGTCAGATAAGAATGAAATACATTTATCAATGTTTGAACACTTCACATTCAATAAGAAATAAGAAGCATATTTTGTGTTCCTAATAAATTAACACTGCTGATTACTATATTAAGAAAATACAACATAAAAGTGAAAATTTTAAAATTTTTCCAAATTGCATTTAGGGGTGATAGCAAATAGAGCTTTCGATAAATTACTTGCGTTCGTGTTTGGTAAGCGTTCGTTTATTAAGATAAACGAACATTAACAAACAAAATTTAGAACTCGGTTTATAAACGAATAAGGTCTGAACAGTTGTAAACTCGTTTGTGTTGTTTAATAATGTTCGCAAACAACCTCGTTTGTGTTCATTTAATATTTGTTTGTATTCTCTTTGTTGTTTAATGATGTTCACGTCAAAGGGCCAAATCTCGTTAAGACAAACATAAATCATCACTATGTGTGTACAAGTAAAACCGATCCTCAGCTCAAATGACAAGAAAAGTCACCATTGGTGCAAAATTTGAGTTGTAAAATTGTTCAATATTTTCAACCAAAAAATAGTCAAACTTGGTTGGATCAAACATATGAACAAGATTGTTATATTTAAATAGATAATTAAATAGTCAGAATTTCTATATACTTATTTCAATTGCGAAGAAGTAATGATTCGGGTTAAAATCTCTATGATATTTAATAGATCTTTCGAACTTGAAGCCAAACTTGTGTTCTCTAATCCATCTAAAACTCTTCTAACAAATATGAGACTCTTTAGCCACAATCACATTCTATATATGATTGGCGGCCACAATGAATTTAATTATCTATTTAAATATAACAATCTTGTTCATATGTTTGATCCAACCAAGTTTGACTATTTTTCGGTTGAAAATATTGAAAAACTTTACAACTCAAATTTTGCACCTATGGTGGCTCCTCTTGTTATTCGAGCTAGGGATCGATTGTCGTACTTACTCACATATAGTGATGATTTATGCAATTGTCTTGACATCTGGCTCTTTGACGTGAACATGCTCTTGTGTTTTCAATACTTTGATCCATCATATAAATTGTTTGGAACCCTGCCACCTCACCTCTCTGAACTGATTGTGAAATCTATCCTGGTCTTCCCGTTGTTGTAGAGTGTCATTTTTTTCTTAGATGTTATATATATGTAGGTATTGGAAAACGTTTTTGTTATTTTCATACATTTAAGTTCAAACACCATGGCATTGAAATAGAAGGATTGCAAGTGTTTGGTGAATAGATTTTAAAGAGAAAAATATTCATTTTCCTTTGGATTATTGTGGCGATATGGGGATTATAGATGAATTTAATGTTACACTCGAATTTTAGTTGACCTTAATGGTGCTCAGCCCACTGCGTATTATGTTCGCCTTCCTGACCGTGATGATATTGAGACTATATTATATAGTGTTCTAGCTTAATATAAAACTGATATTGATATTGATATGCATTATTCAATATCTTATCGGAAACAATTACGTCATATGGGATGGGAAAGATTTTGTGTGATGCGCACTACTTCAAATCTAGATTTTTTTTTATATACGTCTTCAGAATTGATTTTGTAATTGAACACAACATTCAAACCTCTTTAAGTGGAGGTCGTTCGTCAGATATTATTTTCTCAACGAAATTCAATCCTAATGACATCATCCTTGGCCTTTCGAAGTTTCTTTATACCGATTTCTGTATAGCCTAAGTACACCCCACATTTATCTATCTCATTCATGCTTATACTTGTGTGAAAAAAAACTTATAATTCATTCTTTTGATATCCTAATTATTCGTATATTTATTTCTAGCTCTACTTCATCCTCTTGCATTTCCCGACAATGAAGACCAAGACAAGGATGATAGGAAAATAAGAGAAAAATGAGGGAGTAATAGGACTCCCTAAGGCATGCATAAGAACAAAAGCCACTGAGTAAGTTTTCTTCTTCTTCTTGCGCTTGTTAACTTTGTCAATTCTCTTTAATGCAACTAGGACAGTTAACGAACCGAACATAAACGAACAAAAGTTTTTCTGTTCGTTTGTTAAGATTTTGGAGTGTTCGTGTTCGTGTTCGTTTGTTAAGTTTTTTGAAAATCATGTTCGTGTTTGTTTGTTAAGCGTCATTAGTGTTTGTTAACGTTCACGAACATGTTTGTTAACAAGTACATTCAGTACATGTTTATTAATATTTGTGAACATGTTCGTTCACGTTCATAAACACATTTGTGAATGCTTAATAACCAAACATATGAACATGTTCGTGATCACAATTTGTTCGTGAACAAAAAATAATATATGTTCACGAAAAATAATCAAACAAGTAACACAACTACAAAGAGAATACAATCAAATATTAAACGAACACAAACGAACTTGCTCGCGGACATTAATTAAACAAACACTAAACGAGCTTGTTCGTGAACATTATTAAACGAACACAAACAAGCTTGTTCACGATCTCTTAACAAACGAACTTACAACTATTCAGGATCGTTTATAAATCGAGCTCTAAATTTTGTTTGTTAATGTTCGTTTATCTTAATAAACGAGCATAAACGAACGCTTACCGAAAACGAGCACGAGTAGTTTACCGAAAGCTCTGTTTGCTAACAGCCCTAAATACAACTTGAAAAAATTTTAAAATTTTCACTTCTATATTGTTTTTGCTTAATAGTAATCAGCAGTGTTAATTTATTGAGAACAAATGAGTATGCTTCTTATTTCTTACATGTGAAGTGTTCAAAGATTGATAAATGTATTTCATTCTTATTTGACTTTAAGTTATTCTTATATGTACATAATGTGATAAATTATAAAGAAAACTAGTTTTAGCTACACAAAGTTTGCAATATATATATATATCTAATGCACATCAAATAGTATGTTTATACAAAATGTTTGAATGGAAGGTAGAAGATTACCTTGAAAACTGTTTCCATGTTTTTTGGAATTGTTTTTGCTATCTTCCTTGCTCTGATCTTGGGTGAGCTATCTTCTGGAGCTATTCCATTTGGAACTATGTTTGCTTACGATTTGGTATCTCAGTTCCATTAGTGTTTGTAGGCAGTTTTTTAGGTTATAAAAAGCCAGTTTGAAAGACCCGGTAAAGACTAATAAGATCATATGAAACCTGCAAAATAAAACATATAATAATATTAATAAAGAAATGAGCATCTATCCTTGGAGGATTTAAAAGAATACATTCCTCTATCCTGTAAAAAATTGCTTCCGAAACTGCTAGACGAGTATTTTGTGGATTTGGCCTAGTTATGCCTATTTTCAAAAGAGATGAATGCTTTTTGTTATAGTACTTCAAAATCACATTATAGTTATAGAAACCACTATACAATTTCCAAATACTAAACTATTGCAAGGTAGTCGTCAACTCCTCTCTCAATTATAAAAGTAAAATTAAATTCAAATTCAAATTCTTTATTAATAAAATCCTTGCAATATACCAATTCTTCAATAGATTTTATCATAATCATTATTTTAAAAAAAATACCTTAAATGGCAACATTAAGTAGATTTTGTCAAGATTACTTTCTGATTTTGTTATAAAGTTTTATTAGATTAGATATTGGGTAATCAACATAAGTCAGGTGGTCGGAATGACTGAACTAGAAACCACCTAGAATGCAGCGAGAGAATCAAGATCAAGCTCTCAAGGGAAAGAGCCTCCGGAAAAAGGCAAAGGTATTTAAATGTAGACATACTTTTCCCGGTGGTCGGAGTTCTCACTGGAGTTTCCAGATCTGGCATCAGACTTAGCTTAGACGGAAGGATCTGGCAGGAATGTATAGTCAGGTGAGTGACAACAAGCTACGCCGCCGCCGGAAAGGTCTCGCCGGACAACGGCCAACGCTGGAAGGAGGGGGAGAAGCCACTACCCGTCGCTGGTCTACGCACAGGACGCCGCCGCTGCCATCGTCGGGAACAGAGGAAGGAGGGAGACCTCGCCGGATCTGCTGACCTCCGTCGAAGCTCCAGATCTGCTAGCTCGTTGAGAAGGGAGGTCGTCGAGAGAGCAACTCGCCAGATTTGCGGGTTGCGCCGGTCGTCGCTGCTTCTCCGCAGCTGACTCGTCTTCGTCGTCGACCAAGGGTTGTCCGCCGGAAGCAGAGGTCGCCGGCCGCCTGCTCGTCGATCTGCTGTTTGTCGCTGGAAGGAGCTCACCGCGGTACCTGGTCGCCTGCTTTGCTGCTGTAACACGCCGAGCTAGAGAGAGAAGGAGAGACGATGGAGAGTGAGAGTGAAGGCATGAAGAAGGTGGCGGGTGGTGGTGTTGCGCCGGAAGAGGTCTCGCCGGTGGTGGTTACGGTGGCTGTTGGTGGTAGCTGCCATGAGGGGAAGAGACAACGAGAGGGATCATTAACTCATCGGGGAAACTTTTGGACGTGAGATTCGAAATAGGGAAATTCCCGAACTGGGATACCAATCAGGGAAATTGTCTTTCCCTTAGGCGAGTTTGATGTTTTGTAATTTCGCCTAAGTCTTTGGCAACATACATATACCGTATTAATTTAGTAATTGTGAATAATAATGCCGTATTAACTGTATTAATTTAGTAATTTTTTATAATAATACCGTAATAATTTTGTTCTCCTGTATAATAATGTTGTATTGTTAATTAAATATTTAAATATAAAATTGTCGTGATATTTAGTAAATGGGTGGATCCACTTCATTTGATCAACCTGCTCAATTCCCGCACCAGTCGCACGGATCGTTTTCCCAAATTTTTGACCCCACCCAACCATTCTCTTCTACTTATCCGCAACCCCAATATCACCCACACGGATCGTTTTCCCAAATTTTTGACCCCACCCAACCATTCTCTTCTACTTATCCGCAATCCCAATATCACCCACACGGCTATAACGCATCACCCTACCACCCAACTCAGTTTGGTGAAGTTGGGGAATCATCTGCTCAGGGTGGTTTGAACATGGGACAGCCGATGAACCCAACAGACGACGACGAACAAGTTTTTTTTTCTTATATGAATAACACCCGTCAATGGCTGTAAATTATATTGTAGCTTGAATATTCGATTATTATTTTGATGTTGAGATCTTGATAATTAATTTCTCTACTGCCATATTTTTTAGTTTAACAACATCAATCACAGTAGCTAAATTATTTGAGGAGTTTGCATCAATTATTTATTCGTCATTATTGTAATAAACATCAAATCAACAAAATAATCGAACACCTTAATTTTTATTCGACATTTTTTATATAACAAAATTGTAATACGATCGTTCAAACGTACATACATCAATTTACAACTATAAATACAATGTTTTATAACTAAATACGTTGGTTATATGTAAATACGTTGCACAAATACGGTGGACCATACGGTGGAACACCGTATTTCTGGTGGATGCTATGTCGACTTTCGCTTAGGCGAGATATGAAAACCACTATCTCGCCTAAGAGAAAGACAAATTCCCTCTTTGGTATCTCACGCATGAACTTTCCTTTTCACGTAACCCAGGTTCAATTTCTTCCTTGCCGGCAAAATGACCCCAACGAGAGAGAAGGGAGGGAGAGAAATATTAAAGATGGCTGATGAGTTTGGTTTGGGATGGAAATGAACAGTTCACTTTCTATTAATAGCTAGGATTTTAGGGGTCTAGAAAATCAGATATATTTATTTCATCTGTTCTACATTTTTACTTAAATCAATTCTTTCTGTTTATTTTTTCCAGTATTCCTTATTTATTTTTGAATTTGAATTGTTGTGTTCGTATGTGGTGTGTACACAAGTAAATTGAATTAAGGTTTGACGCAACCCCATACTCTCACATGCAAATAACCAGTGAGCACTACCTAGTACCTACACATATATGTAAAGACAAATTAGCTAGAGGGTGGTATCACTTTTGTATGCTTCTACGTGTCGTGTCTGAGGTACATAGGATGGCAACATTGAGTACAACACCTGCGAAGTAACCACCGGTCCGGACATATATACTTTGTACATATATACACACTCCCCTCCTGCGAAGTAACTTAAACATAGGCCTTGGGCGGTCAGACACATATATGCATATGTACTATATATGTGCCTAGTCCGTAGCGGTGGAAACATAGGCCTTGGGCGGTCAGACACATACTTGATTATCTGGACTCGACCACCAACCTTCAAGCGTTGGCTGGTATTTCCAATGTCGACGTGTCCTTTAGGTAGTTGGACAGCGTAGGTTTGAGAACGGATGATTTTGGTTGCCAGGGTCGTGCCGAGCAAAGGGGGGTGTTTCCAACTGTGATCCTGCTTTCTAGATGATATGTAGCAGTTTCTTGTGCATATATATGTTTTGGATTATTAACAGTTGATGACTTTAACATTCTGCTTTGTACATTTTTATGCTATGTGCGTGTTTTGTACGCTATTTCCAGCTTTATCCAGATCCATTCGTACTATATGTACATTCGTCAATTTTTTTTCTTTTTTTTTTCTCTTTTTTTTTATTTGGTCAATAACCGACCGTTGCTGGCGGTTGACCGACAAGGTCCAATTGGCCGGTCGGTCAACCCCTTGGGCTGCTCTCTCTCTCCTCTTTTTTTTGGTCAGATGGTGGTTCTTCGGCTTTTTCTACAAGGCATCTCTCGGTTAGTCTTTTTCAAGTTGTTTATCCATTTTTCAGTTTAATCTCAAATGTCTAGTATGTCCCTTCGTCAAATATTTTTTAAAACGTGTCCAGTTCTCCAATTCGTCCCATTCATCCAGTACTCCTCTCCACCATGATTTTTTAGAACGTCGCCCGTTCACTTTCTATTTATAGCTTGGATTTTAGGGATTTTGAAAATCAAATATATTTATTTTATCTGTTATACTTATTATTCATTGATCAAATCAATTCTTTCTGTTTATTTTTTTAGTATTTTTTATTTATTTTTAAATTTAATTGGTTGTGTTTAATAGTACTTTTAGTGCAGTTTCTAAATATATAAATTTTGTATACTAATACTAAACTTAATATTATGAAAAATTGGATTGAAAATTACTTTAGTCCAATCTCGTTAATGGAATCAGACACATAGAATGAGACAGAAGAAGTATGTATTAGGCTATTTTAAAGATAAAACATATATGTTGGACAAAAAGGTTAAGCTTGGTAATATTTTTGTGCTTAAACAAATTATTTAGTCTTAGGAGTTAAAATTCATTTGCGCTTAGAACATTTGATATTTATAAAATGATTTAGACAAGCTTGTGGGAATAAAATGGTTTATTTAAATTTCGGAACAAGAATAATTGTTTTGAAAGTACTCGAACTAAAATAATTAAAACTGAAAAAAAAAATTATTTTCAAAATATTTTATTAAAGTGAAGTGGTTTGAAATATCGGGATGTCACACTTCATTTGTCTAAATTTATTTTTATATCCTTTTCCCTCTCAAAAAATGATAATCATATGAGAAAAATGATTTTATTACTAACAACAGGTCAATAGTTATAGAGATTGGAATCCATAATCTAGCTACTTTCATAGTGTTTTTCAAGGATCAATGATTTCTCCATTTAGCATTATAACTCATAGTAAGTATCTTATTACTAAGTTGTTAATAAATTTTTTATATACTTATTTGCTTCACATTTATGATTCTATAATAATTATATTGTTGCCTATAGTGTTAATTTATATTTAAAATCCATTGATATGTAGGTGGTAATTTAGTAAGATCAATTATTACTCGCTCACAAAAATCGATATTAGGTCCTACCTCTAAAAAGATGGATAACATTCCAAGTAATATACATGGTAAAAGGAATTATTGTTTACATAAGTTGAATTGTATGATATTTTATTTCATTTATATTAAATAAATATCATTTTTTATATGCGATATAAAAAATGCTAGCGATATAAATATCATTTTTTATATGCGATGCAGTCCAAGAAAAAGCACTGAACAACAATAGTAATGACATTGTTGAAATGCAATTTCAATCTCAAATTGTCATATCGTTGAGTGATGTGACAAATGGTTAGTAACAAAATTTTGTATTGAATTATTTTTAAAATTTTAAAGATTCTAAAGTTTTTTATTTATTTGTATTTTAGTTATGCAAGGACGGTTCATGATAGCCAAGGATTCTCAACATCCACTAGACAAGTATGCGGTAGTAGATTGAAGTATTGAACAATACATCACCAATGGGTATTATTATGTTTTTAATTTTATGTCAATGTATTTAAATAATACGTCATAAAGTTGTCTTTTTTTTTTTTTTTGAAAATACGTCATAAAGTTGTCTATTTAAACATTTATATTAAAAAAAAATTAGGAAAAAAAGTTCAAATTGATCACTGAATTACACACGAAAATACAATTAGATCATCCTGTTGGGAAGAAAGCTCGCAAGAATATATAATTAGCACAATGAAAATAAATAAACGGCACCAAGAAGAGCACCAAGAATTTTAACGTGGAAAAACCTCCTCAAGGCAAGGAGTAAAAAACCACGGGCACAAGCCAGTAAACCTTCCACTATATAGATAATGGGTACAACAGAGGAGGCTTCTCTAATTCAACGATTAAAGACAACACAAAATACAAGAGAAAATAACATACCCCGAGGCACAAGAATTTCTACGAAATCCACCAACTTCTTCTCGGCTAATTTTCTCACACTTGTATATCTCAACAAATTTTCTCTCCTCTCTTTTTCTTCTTCTTGAACTCTCTCATATCCAAGGTAGCCAAATCCATGGCCTTTATATAGGCTTTACAAAGCCAACTCTTTTGTCTTTTCATTTGCCCACTTTAATCTCCCATTAAGTGGACATGAATGAAGCCATTAATCAAAAAACCTTTCACTTCATCTTCCAAGATTAATTGTTAAGCTTTTGGTCACCACCCTACCCACATTGGTGGGACCATCTAGCAACAAACTCCCCCTCACGCCAATGTGGGAGGGACTTGCATCCCTGCAGCTGAACGACATATCTCAAGCTTTTCCCTTGGTAATGACTTTGTTAACATGTCAGACCCATTTTCATCTGTATGGATCTTTACAAGTTGTATCTGGTTCATCTCCAAAACATCTCGTATCCAGTGATATCTTACATCGATATGTTTCGATCTTGAATGGAAAGAGGAATTCTTACCAAGGTGTATAGCACTCTGACTATCACAAAATAACTCATATTTGTCTTGTTTGATCCCGAGTTCTTGAAGAAATTTCTTCATCCATAGCAACTCTTTACAAGCTTCAGTTGCTGCAATAAACTCAGCCTCTGTGGTAGAAAGTGCAACACACTTTTGTAACTTAGACTGCCATGATACTGCTCCCTCTGCAAATGTTATCAGATACCCCGAAGTCGACTTTCTAGACTCAATGTCACCTGCCATGTCTGCATCAGTGTATCCAACCAACATAGACTTACTAGAACCAAAACATAAGCATAATTTAGAAGTACCTCTAAGATATCTGAAAATCCATTTAACAGCCATCCAATGTTCCTTGCCAGGATTAGAAAGGAACCTACTCACAACTCCAACTGCATGAGCAATATCTGGCCTTGTACATACCATGGCATACATTAAACTACCAACTGCCGAATTGTAAGGGACTTGTTGCATACTTGCCTTTTCTTCCTTTGTAGAAGGACTTTGCTTACTACTTAATTTAAAGTGATTAGCAAGAGGAGAACTAACCGCTTTAGCATTGTGCATGTTAAACCTGCAAAGTATTTTCTCAATGTACTTCTCCTGAGACAACCACAACTTTTTGGCATTCCTGTCTCGTGTAATTCTTATCCCAAGAATCTGTTTTGCTGGCCCCAAGTCTTTCATAGCAAAAGACTTGCTCAACTGTTCCTTTAGTTGATTAATTCTAGAAGCACTCTTGCCGAAGATCAACATATCATCAACGTACAACAGGAGAATAATAAAATCATCATCAGAGAGTTTTTGAAAGAACACACAATGGTCAGAAATAGTCTTCATGTAACCTTGCTTCGCCATAACTGACTCAAACTTCTTGTACCACTGCCTTGGTGCCTGTTTTAAGCCATATAGACTCTTCTTTAGCTTACAGACATAGTCCTCTTTTCCCTTGACTTCAAAACCTTCTGGTTGCTCCATGTATATTTCTTCATCCAAATCACCATGAAGAAAAGCAGTCTTTACATCCATTTGCTCAATTTCTAAATCTAGGCTGGCTGCTAGTCCAAGAACAACACAGATGGAAGACATTTTAACAACTGGAGAAAATATCTCATCAAAGTCAATACCTTTTCTCTGGTTGAATCCCTTGACAACCAGTCTAGCTTTGTACCTTGGTCGTGAGGAGTGTTCTTCCTGCTTCACTCTGTACACCCACTTGTTTGTCAAAGCTCTCTTACCTTTAGGTAGCTTTACTAACTCAAAGGTATTATTCTCATACAAGGATTTCATCTCATCTTTCATGGCTTCAATCCACTTTTCCTTGTGTTCATCCTCCACAGCTTCTGCATAACATTCTGGTTCACCATTATCAACAAAATTAATTTCATAAATATCAGAAGAGTACCTTGTGGAAGGCTGTCTAACTCTTGAACTTCTTCGAAGCTGAGGTGGAGTTGAAGCTTCTGGAACTGGGAGTTCATCATCATTAATGGAAGCATCAGTAACATCTTGCTGCTCAATTTGGTCATCCTCTCCAACCTCTTCAGGAACCACTGTTGGAGGTACTATCTCAGTATCAACTGAATCACCGTTATGAGATCCCAATTCTTTAACCCGGTCAATATCCTCTATGGTTTGATTCTCCACGAACACAGCATCTCGGCTTCTCACAAGCTTCTTTTCAACCGGATCATAAAATCTGTAACCAAAGTCATCTAGACCATAGCCAATAAAGACACACTGTCGTGTCTTAACATCAAGTTTCGATCTTTCATCTTTCGGAATGTGCACAAATGCTTTGGACCCGAAGACACGTAGATAATCATAGGAAACATCATTTCCTGTCCATACCCGATTTGGTATGTCAAACCTTAAAGGAGCACATGGTGAGAGATTCAACACATGCGCAACAGTACTTAGTGCCTCAGCCCAGAATGTCTTTGGTAACTTTGCATGTGACAACAAACATCTAACTCTCTCAATCAAAGTCCTGTTCATCCTCTCAGCAACACCATTTAACTGAGTCTTCGGTGGTGTTTTCTTATGGCGAATACCCTGCTCTACGCAATACCTATTGAGTGGCCCAATATACTCTCCTCCATTATCTGACTTTATGCATTTTAGCTTCTTCCCAGTCTGTCTCTCAACTAGGGCATGAAATTGCTTGAATATGTCCACAACTTGACTTTTATGCCTCAAAGAATAAACCCATAATCTCCTTGAGCAGTCATCAATGAAGGTAACAAAATAGCGAGCACCACCAAGTGACCTAGTTTTGAAAGGTCCACACACATCAGAGTGTATCAATTCCAATACCTTTGGTTTCTTCTTAGTCTCAGCAGAACTTTTAAAGGATACTCTGTTCTGCTTCCCTGCTAGACAATGAGCACACCTCTTCAAATGAACATTGTTCAACCCAGCTAAGCTCTTTTTTCTGACCAGCATAGACATCCTCTCCTCAGATATATGTGCAAGCCTCTTATGCCATATATCATTCGTATCATCGTTCTCAACCGTATTGACAATATTTCCTGAGATCTTGGCCTGTAAAACATAAAGTGTAGAACACTTTGTGCCTCGAGCCACAACTAGAGAACCTCTTGTGAGTTTCCATTAGCCATTTTGGAAAGTATTACAATACCCTTCATCATCTAATTTTCCAGCAGAAATTAAATTATACCTGATATCTGGAACATGCTTCACATTTTTCAGAAGCAACTTGGTGCCATTGTTGGTTTCTAACTGAACATCGCCAACACCAACAATCTTTGCATTACCATCATTGCCCATTTTCACAACTCCAAAATCACCTGTTGCATAACTAACAAAAAAATCCTTTCGAGCTGTAGCATGAATGGATGCACCACTATCAATTACCCAGTTTGTATCATGACTTGCCAAATTAATGGCATCTGTGTCACCATCATAAAAGATAAGAAAATCATGTTCAACTGTAGCAGCTACACTATCATCATCACTACCATTATTCTTTTCAGAGTCTTTATTTTTCTGATTTTCTTTCTTCCGTAGTCGGCAAAATTTCTTAATATGCCCCTTTTTGTGACAATGATAACATTCAACATTAGCAAATTTATTAGATTTACCTCTACTGTTATCTCTGTTTTTATCTTTACTCCTTGGACCCTTACTTTGACTTCTCCCCCTATTTGTTGTAGCCAAGACCTCTGAATGTTGAGAGGAAGTACCTTGTGACCTTCGTCTCATCTCTTCATTCAGGACACCACTTTTAACAAGTTCCATCGTTACAACACCGTTAGGAGCAGAATTAGTCAAAGAAATTTTTAAAGTTTCCCAAGAATCCGGCAATGATGCTAGTACCATAAGAGCAAGGACCTCATCATCAAAATTAACTCCCATACTGACAATTGATCAACAATCCCTTGAAAATCATTCAAGTGATCCGCAACAGAACTACCCTCGTTATATCTCAACTGCACCAATTTTGTGAGATAAAACAGTTTGTTGTTGCCAGTCTTTGAAGCATATAAATCTTCAAGTTTACTCCACAGTGTCCTTGCGTGGGTTTCACTACAAATATGATTATACACATTATCTTCAACAAATTGCCGAATAAAACCACATACCTGTTCATGCTCAAAGGCCCACTTTTCATCTGATTTATTTTCAGGTTTCTGGGTAGCAAACACGGGTAAATGCAACTTCATCACATATAGTAGATCTTTTATCTTATTTCTCCATATGTGATAATTTGTGCCATTCAAACTTGTAATTCTATTGAACTTTCCTTCCATAGCTTCGCACTTGAACAATGCTCTGATACCAGTTGTTGGGAAGAAAGCTCGCAAGAATATATAATTAGCACAATGAAAATAAATAAACGGCACCAAGAAGAACACCAAGAATTTTAACGTGGAAAAACCTCCTCAAGGCAAGGAGTAAAAAACTACGGGCACAAGCCAGTAAACCTTCCACTATATAGATAATGGGTACAACAGAGGAGGCTTCTCTAATTCAACGATTAGAGACAACACAAAATACAAGAGAAAATAACATACCCCGATGCACAAGAATTTCTACGAAATCCACCAACTTCTTCTCGGCTAATTTTCTCACACTTGTATATCTCAACAAATTTTCTCTCCTCTCTTTTTCTTCTTCTTGAACTCTCTCATATCCAAGGTAGCCAAATCCATGGCCTTTATATAGGCTTTACAAAGCCAACTCTTTTGTCTTTTCATTTGCCCACTTTAATCTCCCATTAAGTGGACATGAATGAAGCCATTAATCAAAAAACCTTTCACTTCATCTTCCAAGATTAATTGTTAAGCTTTTGGTCACCACCCTACCCACATTGGTGGGACCATCTAGCAACACATCCAACTCAAAAAAATGTGTAATTGAATCACTGGACAAGCTAAAATAATGCAATTGAGTAAAAATGACTTGTTCCCCAAGTTAACCGTTGATGTGGCAGTTAACCTTTAATAAATTATTTTATTTATTACAAATTGAAAAAAAAAAAAAAAAAAAAATCCAACCCCACTCCTCCCCTCCGGATGAGCAAAGCAAAGCGTTTTGGGAGTTGTTGATGGATTGGTTGTTCATGGTGACATTTTAGAGATAATTAAAAGAATTCACTTATAATTTTTTAAAAAATTATATTGTAACAAAATTATTTTTTATGATACGATGGTTCATTCATAATTGCATCAATCTTGAACACAGGTAATCGTGATATTCCTTTGGCGTAGGGAGATGGTATCATTTTACACAATAACATACAAGACACAATTCAACCTCCATCGACATGCCGTAATCCAAGTTTAGAATTTGATGAAATTGTATATCTTCGGATAAAAAAAAAAAATGATGTAACAATTGGTAAGTGATAATATATTGTACTTCATCTATTAAAAATCTAAAGTTGAAGATTATTTGATTGTCTTTAACTAAAATATTTTTTTTAGTTGAGTATGCAGACTTCGGTGACCCGATTCATTTATGTAAACATTGCAATGCATTGTTTTGGTATGAGGAACGTGTGAATAAAACCATGGTGAATGGACTAACCAGATATCATGGGTGTTGCAGATATAGGAAAAATTAAGTTGCCTCAACTAAAATTGCCTTCCAAAGTGGAGACTGAAAGAACTATTATGCCCTCACAATAGACGGTCACTTAACACCTAAATTGACGGAGGACCAAATTGGACATAAATTTAATACTTGATGACTTAATTGATAAAAAAAAAAAAAAAAAAAAAAAAAAAAAAAAAAAAAAGAAGATCGATGACTAATTTGGTACTTTCACTATAATCGAGGGACCAAACAACTAATTTACCAAACACTGACAAAGAGGCAGTATACACAATTTTATAAATACAACCAAAAAACCCAGATATATACATAATAAAATTTTAACACTAGAACAATCCAAGTATTTAACATAGAACATCAATAATTAAACAAAATAAAATAAAATAAATTAAAAGGTAAGAAAATAAATTTATTTACCTGGCTGGCTAAAATACAAACAAAGAAAACAAAACCAAAATCAAAATGCAAACCATTGCAAATTTTAGATATCCAAAGAAAAAGATGAAAATGAAGAAAAACAAGGAAAACTCACGTAACAGAGGAGAAAATGTAGAAATGGAGAAGATATAAGGTAAAATTTTACCCATTTTTAGTGACATTGGATAAGTTCAAAGACTAGAAAGTTTGAGAGCAGTAGATCGAGTGGAAGGAAATAACAAGAGCTGAGTATTTAAAGCTTTTGCTTATTCCAAGTTTTCTTCTTCTTGCTCTTAGTGACAAGATTGGTTCCTCTTTTTTGCCATGTTTGGTAAATGGTTGTTAGCTGTTAGATAATTGTGTTAATTAGATGGTATAACTAGTTAATAACATTAACTGATTGTAGAAATGTGTTTGGTAAATTAGTTGTTAGCTGATAGCTGTTTGGTATAATTTCTTTTCTCAAAAAGCTAATTAAAAAAAATTGGAATAAGGTTCAAATTGGCCACTGAACGTAACCTGAAAGTGCAATTAGGCCACTGAACGAAAAAAAAGTGCAATTAGGCCACTGAACACTCAAAAAATGTGCAATTTCACCTTATAGCAGGTTACCCTCAATTTTAGCAGGTTATCTGCTTACGTGGCAGCTGAGTTGGCATTTTTAATAAATTTTAATTAATTTTTAATAATAACTTTTTATTAAATTTTTTTTTAAAAAAATAAAAACGACTTTATTTTATTTTTTATTTAATTTTTTCCAATTTTTTATAAAATTTATTATTAAAATTAATTATTAAAAATTATTTAAAAATTATTAAAAATGCCAACTAAGCTGCCACGTAAGCAAGTAACCTGCTAAAATTGATGGTAACCTGCTATTCGGTAAAATTGCATACGTTTGGAGAGTTCAGTGGCCTAATTGCACATTTTTTTGAGTGTTCAATGGCCTAATTGCACTTTTTTTTCGTTCAGTGGCCTAATTGCATTTTCAGGTTACGTTCAGTGGCCTAATTGCATTTTCAGGTTACGTTCAGTGGCCAATTTGAACCTTATTCCTATTATACTTTGAATAATTTTTTGAATTTTAGTATTTTGGGTGAAAAAAATTAATTAACCAAACACTTATATTAATTTTTAAACCAAATCAAACAACTAATAGTGATTAAATAAATTAAAATTAACCTATAAACTAACTATTTTACCAAACAAGCCCTTATATTTTTATTCCCTTCATATGAGTATTTAATGCTGTGGTTATACCATCCCAGGTGGTAAGGTGCATTTACTATCCTTCGTATTTATTGTGGATTGAAGACGGACTGGAGCTCCGGGCGAACGGCCGGCGTGCCCAACCCACGATGGGTCAACGACGGCTCTTGTCAGAACCTCCCAAGAAAGGTCCTGAAGAGGAAAACATTAATAATGCCTTTTTCCGATGCAGGAGCTCAACGGCAGGGCACACGTTATGCCACGGAACCGTGTTCACCATTCACGGTGAACACGATTCCAACGGTGTTAGTGCACCGTTATCTTTTTTTTTTTTTTTTTTAATTAATTACGTGACTGCCTACACATTCACTTTGGAACCATGCCTACACATTCACTTTGGAACCATGAGATTATGAATTTTCTGTTATGAGATTATGAATTTTCTGTTATGCGATTATGAATTTTCTGTTATGAGATTATGAATTTTCATTACATTCATAATTTCGGAGTTTCGGACATTCATAAATTATGAATTCATGCATGCACGTTCACTTTGGAACCATGCCTACATATTCCCGTCCGAAATCACGGACATTCATAAATTATGAATCCATGCCTGCACATTCACTTTGGAACCATGCCTACACATTCACTTTGGAACCATGAGATTATGAATTTTCTGTTATAAGATTATGAATTTTCTGTTATGAGATTATGAATTTTCAGTTGTGAGATTATGAATTTTCTGTTATGCGATTATGAATTTTCTGTTATGAGATTATGAATTTTCATAAAATTCATAATCTCATAACAGAAAATTCATAATTTGATCAGTAACGCGCCGTTAACTCCACATCCGCGATTTTTTTTTTTTTTTGCCTAAAAACGACATCGTTTTGACTTGTGTTCACCATTCTCGGTGAACACGATTCCACGGCATAATTTGCGACGGCAGGGAGGAAAGGCTTTTTAAATAAGGGACTGGTGGTTAACAACAATATCCAGAAAGCTATAGAGGGTCAAGCTAGATGGGTCGTTGCTAGCCCACACACCACCATGTACTTTATGGCTTTTAACCAAGGGTACATAGCATCCAAATTATGATGTGGAACCGTATTTACCCTGCAAGGTGGGCGCAGTTTTAACATTGTTCATAATTATGAATATATAGTTTAAAAATTATGAATATAGAGTTGTCAACATAATTATGAACATATAGCTCTGTAATTATGAATATAGAGATTCAATAATTGTATGAGTATATAACTTTATAATTATAAATATATAATTTAGTAATTATGAACATAGAGTTCTGTAATTGTGAATATAGAGTTCAATAATTATGAATGTGAAGTTAAAAAGTTATTAATATATAGCTTTATAATTATGAACATATAGTTCAGTAATTATGAACATAGAACGGCGGATACGGTTCCACAGCATAACGATTGCAGGATTGTAGCCAGGGAAGGAAACCTTCTCTAATCATGATATTATCGGAAATCAGCCGGCCAGGGATGAAAGCGCTCTGGTTCTCCGATATGAGTGTGTCAAGAAGTGGCTTCAACCTGTTGGCTAGCACCTTAGCAAAGATTTTGTACACCACATTACAAAGCGAGATTGGCCTCAAGTCTCCCATCGTCTCTGGCTTTGTTTTCTTTGGGATGAGAACCAGCAGGGTGTGGTTTAGGCCTTTTGGGAGATGTCCAGTAGAGATGAAGTCATTACATAATCTTACGATGTCAGGACCCAACACGTCCCAATATGCTTGGAAGAACTCCGGGTTGAAGCCATCGGGCCCCGGCGATTTGTCTGGATGCATCCCGCAGATTGCCTTTCTAACCTCCTCCGGGCTTGCATGTCGAATCAGAGCTGCATTTTGGACTTCCGAGATGTTAGGCTTAATGCACTCCAGAACTGGATCCATGTCACCCTGAGTGGAAGTGAACAGACTCTTGAAGTAAGATACCATCAGGTTGTCTAAGTCTGGACCTTTCTCACACCATACTCCACTACCATCCTTAAGTTTAGGGATGTAGTTGTTTTGTTTCCAGCGCTGACAAGTCTTATGGAAGAAGCTCGAATTCACATCCCCTCCTTTGAACCAGTGAACTTTAGCCCTCTGTCTCCAAACGGTATGTTGTTGGTTTAGTAAAGATAGATAATTTCTTTGAGCTTCAGAGTACTCTGCCAAACCATGAGAATCAACTCTTTTACTTAGATAGTCCATCTGCTTAGCCCAATAGTCTATTTTAGGTTGGAAATTCCTATTCATATTCCTTCCCCATTCCCAAATAGCTTTGCTGCAAGTATCCAGCCGAATTAATAAGTGTAGACCGTTCGACTGCCCCCAACAAGCCGTGACAATCTCTCTGCATTGATTCTCCTTCAGCCAAACATTTTCGAATTTGAACTTGTTTCTTCTTTGACGACAGGCAGTAGGGACCGTACATAGCAGCATTGGAAGATGGTCACTAGAAGGCACGGAGATGGACCTCGCCCTTGCATCGCCAAACCGCTCTAACCAAGCATCATTGACCAATATCCTATCAAGCTTTTCCTGAATCCAGTTTGGAGTACCCCTTGACTTTTCCCAGGTGAATTGACATCCATCAAAATCCAAATCTCTAAGACCGCTGCTTTCAATGGCTTCGTTGAAGCCTCGGATTAACCATTGAGGGTGCGGATGCGTTCCTTTCTTCTCGGATGAGCTCCGAATGTCGTTAAAATCACCCATTAACGCCCATGGAAGAGGACTTAGGGTAGCTAGATGCCGCAACCTTTGCCAAGATTCACGCCTGCGATTACTCTTGGGGTTCCCATAAAAGCCAGTATATCTCAAGGTTCAGGGCTTGTTTCCGTTGTTATCATAGCATCGATATGGTACCTAGAAAAGCCCAAGATGCTAACTTCAGATTCCTCCTTCCACAACAGAGCAAGACCTCCACTTCGGCCCAAGCTATCCACCGTAAATAGCCCAGTGTAGCCCACTTTATTCTTAATAGTCTGCATCTTAAAATTATTAGAGAAGGTTTCCATAAGAAAAATCACATTTGGCCCATGGTATGGCATGACTTATGAATATGTTTAGAAGTCACAACACTTCCCTTGTGTACGATATCAAGTCAAGATCAATCACAGTGGAAAATCAAGTAAACCTAGTAACCAACACTCACTCACTCCTTTTTCCCCCTCTTTATCAATGAATGCACATTTGAGTAGCTACATTTAGATACTCTGACTAAATATGAAGTTTGGATTGGGGTAAAACATTCGTTGTCGCATTTTAGTAGTCTAGATCTTTCCCATTATGGTTAAGTATTTTTGTACAATGATCAAACTAGTTATTGAATCTCTCAAATTTTAACTTTGAATGCAGCCCCTATATCACGAGGTATTTACTTCAGGGAGATTAATTCTTGTAACCAATCAACAGAGGTGATATAGTAGTGGTTTTAATTTTTTGATCTAGTGTATTAATGTAATATTTATATTGTATCTACTGTTAAAAAAATCAGTGCATTCACAAATTCACTTGCAAGTTCATTTCTTTGAAGAAGCTGAATTAATATTTTCCTCAGTGGACAGTTGAAGTTCAACCGAAGTTTCATGAAGATGCAAGTAATTTAGAGGAACTGGTTCCTTTCGAAAAGTGTATTCAGTTGCATTCCACTGGACACACAATCGTTAGATCTCGATAGTACCTCCTCCTCTGGACGCGTCCAAAGTTCGTGAACTTTGGACACGTATTATAATTTTGCGCGTCCAAATTGCCTTCGACGCTGATTGAACATACAATCAGCGTTTCCTACATACGCGTCCAAGCAACTTTAAACGCGTATTGTCCATTCTGTACTAGTGAAACTATCAACTACTAGAGCAAACTTTCAAATCACAAACTATCAACTATCAAATTAAACTTCCAAATCATAAACTATCAACTATCAGAGCAAGCTTCTAAATCAATAACTATCAAGTAACAAAGCATACTTTCAAATCACAAATAGTGATGATTTATGAGATTGTCTTGACAAGATCTGGCTCTTTGGCGTAAACAAGCCATTGCGTTTTCAATACTTTGATCCAACCTATAAATTGTTTGGAACCCTGCCACCCCCACCTCTTCCAATTGATTGTGAAATCCACCTTCGTCTTCCTGTTGTAGAGTATTTTTTTTTTTCTTCTTAGTGGGTATTGGAGAACGTCTTCGTTATTTTCATACATTTAATTTTGACACCATAGCATCAAAATGGGAGGATTGCAAGTCCTTCGTGGACAGATTTAAAGAGAAAAATATTTCACTTCCCTTCACTCATTGTGGCGAAATGGGTATTTCAGATGGATTTGATGATAACACTCGAATTCTAGTCACCTTTGGTGGTGCTCAGCCCACTACACATCATGTTCGCCTTCGTGACCGTGGTGATATTGAGCTTATATCTTGCAAGAACAGCTGAATGTAAAACTGATTTTGATATTGATATGCATTTCTCAATATCTGATTGGAAACAATTAGCTGATATGGGAGGTGGAAGGTTTTGTGTTATGCGCACTACTTGAAGTATAGATTTTTTTATATATGTCTTCATAATTGATTTTGCACTTCACAAAATACAAACTATCAAACTAAACTTTCAAATCACAAACTATCAATTATCAGAGCAAACTTTGAAATCACACACTATCAACTACCAGAGCAAACATCCAAATCACAAAATATCAACTATCAGAGCAAATTTCCAAATCACAAACTATCAACTACGAGAGCAAACTTCCAAATCACAAACTATTAACTATCAAAGCAAACTTCCAAATCACAAACTATCAACTACGAGAGCAAACTTCCAAATCACAAACTATCAACTATCAGAGCAAAATTTCAAATCACAAACTATCAACTATCAGAGCAAACGTCCAAATAAAAAACAATCAACTACTAGAGCAAACTTCTAAATCACAAACTATCAACTATCAAATTAAACTTACAAATCACAAACTATCAACTATGAAATTAAACTTCTTTAATCCATCGAACTCTTCAAACAAATATCGAACTCCTTAGCCACAATCACATTCTATATATGGTTGGGGGCCACAATGGATTAATTATCCATTCAAATATGGCAATCATGTTTATATGTTTAATCCAACCAAGATCGATTATTTTTCAATTGAAAATATTGAACAACTTTACAACTCAAATTTTGCACCCATGGTGACTCCTCTTGTCATTCGAGGTGAGAATAGGTTTTATTTGTTAACACAGATTTAAAGAGAAAAATATACCACTTCCTTTCACTCATTGTGGCGATATGGGGATTTCAGATGAATTTGATGATAACACTCGGATTTTAGTCGCCTTTGATGGTGCTCAACCCACTGCATATCATGTTCGCCTTCGTGGCCGTGGTGATATTAAGCTCATATCTTGCAGGGTTCTAGCGGAATGTAAAATTGATTTTGATATTGATATGCATTACTCAGTATCTGATCGGAAACAATTAGCTGATATGGGAGGTGGGAGGTTTTGTGTTATGCGCACTACTTGAAGTATAGATTTTTTTTTTATATATATATATGTCTTCAGAATTGATTTTGCACTTCACAAAATACAAACTATCAAATTAAATTTCCAAATCACAAACTATAAAGTATTAGAGCAAACTTTGAAATCACAAACTATCAACTACCAGAGCAAACATCCAAATCACAAAATATCAACTATCAGAGCAAATTTCCAAATCACAAACTATCAACTACGAGAGCAACTTCCAAATAAAAAACTATTAACTATCAGAGCAAACTTCCAAACCACAAACGATCAATACCAGAGCAAACTTCCAAATCACAAACTATCAACTATCAGAGCAAACTTTCAAATCACAAACTATCAACTATCAGAGCAAACGTCCAAATCAAAAATTATCAACTACTAGAGCAAACTTCTAAATAAAAAACTATCAACTATCAAATTAAATTTACAAATCATAAACTATCAACTATCAAATTAAATTTTTATAATCCATCTAAAACTCTTCAAACAAATATCGAACTCCTTAGCCACAATCACATTCTATATATGGTTGGGGGCCACAATGGATTTAATTATCCATTTAAATATGGCAATCATGTTTATATGTTTAATCCAACCAAGTTCGATTATTTTCTGGTTGAAAATATTGAACAACTTTACAACTCAAATTTTGCACCCATGGTGAATCCACTTGTCATTCGAGCTGAGGATCGGTTTTACTTGCTAACACAAAGTAATGATTTATGCGATTGTCTTGACGAGATTTGGCCCTTTGATGTGAACAGTTCTAGCCTTTTCAATACTTTGATCCACCATTAAATTGTTTGGAACCCTGCCACCCCTTTTCTCCCAACTGATTGTGAAATCTACATTGGTCTTCCCGTTGTAGAGTGTTTTTTTTTTAGAGGTTATGTATATGTGGGTATTGGATAACGTCTTCTTTATTTTCATACATTTAAGTTCGACACTATGGAATCACAATGGGAGGATTGTAAGTCTTTGGTAAAAAGATTTAAAGAGAAAAATATTCCACTTCCCTTTACTCATTGTGGCGATATGTGAATTTCAGATGAATTTTATGATAACACTCGGATTCTAGTCACCTAATCACAAACTATCAACTATCAGAGCAAACTTCCATATCACAAACTATCAACTATCAGAGCAAATTTCCAAATAAAAAACTATCAACTACTAGAACAAACTTCTAAATCACAAACTATCAACTATCAAATTAAACTTCCAAATCGCAAATTATCAATTATCAGAGCAAACTTACAAATCACAAACTATCAACTATCAAATTAAACTTTAAAATCACAAACTATCAACTATCAGAGCAAATTTCCAAATCAAAAACTATCAACTATCAGAATTCTTATATGCTTATTTCAATTGCGAAGAAGTAATGATTCGGATTAAAATCTCTATGACATTTAATAGATTTTTCAAACCCGAAGCCAAGGTTGTGTTCTCTAATCCATCCAAAACTCTTCAAACAAATATGGGACTCTTTAGCCAAAATAACATTGGATATATGGTTGGGGGCCACAATGGATTTAATTATCCATTTAAATATGACAATCTTGTTCATATGTTTAATCCAACCAAGTTTGATTATTTTCCGGTTGTCAATATTGAACAACTCTACAACTCAAATTTTGCACCTATGGTGACTCCTCTTGTCATTCGAGATGAGGATCGGTTTTACTTGCTAACACATAGTGATGATTTCTGCGGTTGTCTTGACGAGATCTGGCATTTTGACGTGAACAGTCCTGGCGTTTTCAGTACTTTGATCCAACATATAAATTGTTTGGAACCCTGCCACCACAACTTCTCCCAACTGATTGAGAAATTTACATTGGTCTTCCCGTTGTAGAGTATCTTATGTTTTTCTTTTCTTAGAGGTTATATATATGTGGGTATTGGAGAACGTCTTCGTTATTTTCATACATTTAAGTTCGACTCAATGATATCAAAATTGGAGGATTGCATGTCCTTGGTGGACAGATTTAAAGAGAAAAATATTCATCTTCCCTTCACTCATTGTGGCGCTATGGGGATTTCAGATGAATTTAATGATAACACTCGGATTCTAGTCGCCCTTGATCGTGCACAGCCCATTGCGTATCATGTTCGCCTTCATGATCGTGATGATATTGAGCTTATATCTTGTAAGGTTCTAGCGGAATGTAAAACTGATGTTGATATTGATATGCATTACTATCTGATCGGAAACAATTAGCTCATATGGGAGGTGAAAGGTTTTGTGTAATGCGCACTACTTGAAGTATAGATTTTTTGATATATGTCTTCAGAATTGATTTTGCACTTCACAAAATACAAAGTATCAAAATAAACTTCCAAATCACAAACTATCAAGAATCAGAGCAAACTTTGAAATCACAAACTATCAACTACCAGAGCAAACATCCAAATCACAAAATATCAACTATCAGAGCAAACTTCAAAATCACAAACTATCAAGTACGAGAGCAAACTTCCAAATCACAAACTATTAACTATCAGAGCAAACTTCCAAATCACAAACTATCAACTATCAGAGCAAACTTCCAAATCACAAACTATCAACTATCAGAGCAAACTTCCAAATCAAAAACTATCAACTACTAGAGCAAACTTTTAAATCACAAACTATCAACTATCAAATTAAACTTCCAAATCACAAACTATCAACTATCATAGCAAACTTCCAAATCACAAACTATCAACTATCAAATTAAACTTCCAAATCACAAACTATCAACTATCATAGCAAACTTCCAAATCACAAACTATCAAGTACGAGAGCAAACTTCCAAATCACAAACTATTAACTATCAAAGCAAACTTCCAAATCACAAACTATCAACTATCAGAGCAAACTTCCAAATCACAACTATCAACTATCATAGCAAACTTCCAAATCAAGAACTATCAACTACTAGAGCAAACTTCTAAATCACAAACTATCAACTATCAAATTAAACTTCCAAATGACAAACTATCAACTATCATAGCAAACTTCCAAATCACAAACTATCAACTATCAAATTAAACTTCTAAATTACAAACTATCAACTATCAAATTAAACTTTAAAATCACAAACTATCAATTATCATAGCAAACTTCCAAAGCACAAACTATCAACTATCAGAATTCCTCTATGCTTATTTCAATTGCAAAGAATTAATGATTCGGGTTAAAATCTCTATGACACTTAATAGATCTTTTGAACCCGAAGCCAAAGTTGTGTTCTCTAATCCATCTAAAACTCTTCAAACAAATATGGGACTCTTTAGCCACAATCAAATTTTATATATGGTTGGGGGCCACAATGGATTTAATTATCTATTTAAATATAGCAATTTGAGTAAAAGACAATTTTGGTCCTAGACTTATAGTGACACGGACAATTTTAGTCCATTTTAAAAAAATCAGACAATTTGTGGACACTCTTATTGTGACGAGGACAATTTTGGTCCTCCGTCAATATTCCCGTTAGATGCTCCGTTTGAGAGGGGGTAATTGCGTCTTTTCAACAACAGACCTCCTTCTTTGGGATTGCCCAGTTCCCTGAACTCTGTACCTAGGAATTGAACTATGGATCTCACCCTGGATTGAGCTCTAGCCTCGGGATATTGAACCATGGATCTCACCATGGCAAGAGCCTTCTGCAATTTTTTCTCGGTTTGTTTTCTGCCTTCTTTTAGAAAATCAAACTCATCTTCTTGCACGGGTTGGGCTTGAATGCTAGAGGTCGGTGATTGTTTCTAGTTTAAACCCATGCAGACCACTGCCTTTTCGTCTCCATCGCAAAATTACCTTCTTCAGTATCCCAACAGACCAAATTATCGTTCCATAGTTCTTCATGACTTGATGTCCCTTACGTGCGCCTTTTTTTTTCAATAGGGAAGGCTAAAGGCAAGAAACAACAAGGAATGATACTATATATATATATATATATATATATATATATATATATATATATATATATATATATATATATATGAAATAATAAAAATAAAAATAGAAGTGTGAAAAAATGTAAAAGCTTGAGAGAGAAGCTTCTGTACCCACTAAATCGCACATGAATTTTAATGATTTGTTGCTGAATTTGAAGAAATTCTTTTCGTCCCTTATAACTGTGGTATTTGTTTTGTATCCGTATTGCAACAACGTGAGTTGGTTCATCATAGTGTCCTGCCCCTGTTCTTCACAGCACGAAGTGAAAGAGCACCCTCATCGGGCAATCCAAATGAGTGCGAGCAGTAGCTTGGGTTGCATTACGAACAGCTGCCAGAGAGTCCTTCATTGACGGTTCATCTGGCTAATCGCCATCGCCAAGGGGAGTAGCAACCCAAAGAAAGAGGTCTATTGTTGAAAAGACTCAATTACCCCCTCCCAAATGGGGCATCTAACGGAAATATTGACGGAGGACCAAAATTGTCCTCGTCACAATAAGAGTGTCCACAAATTGTCTGATTTTTTTAAAGAGGACTAAAATTGTCCGTGCCACTATAAGTGTAGGACCAAAAATGTCTTTTACTCTAGCAATTTTGTTTATATGTTTAATCCAACCAAGTTCGATTATTTTTTTTCTTAGAGGTTATATATATGTGGATATTGGAGAACGTCTTCTTTATTTTCATACATTGAAGTTCGACACCATGGCATCAAAATAGGAGGATTGCAAGTCCTTGATGGACAGATTTAAAGAGAAAAATATTCGTTTCCCTTCACTCATTGTGGCGATATGGAGATTTCTGATGAATTTAATGATAACAATCGGATTCTAGTCGCCATTGATGATGTGCAGCTCACTGCGTATCATGTTCGCCTTCGTGATCGTGATGATATTGACCCTATATCTTGTAGGGTTCTAGCTGAATGTAAAACTGATGTTGATATTTATATGCATTACTCAATATCTTATTGAAAACAATTAGCTGATATGGGAGGTGGAAGGTTTTGTGTGATGCGCACTACTTGAAGTATAGATTTTTTGATATATGTCTTCAGAATTGATTTTGCACTTGAACACAACATTCAAACCTCTGGATGTGGAGGTTGTTTGTCAAATATTTTTTTTTTCTCAACGAAATTCAATCCTAGTTTTACACACGCTTTGCGCGAATGAGTTAATGTCCAATGTTTATAATTAAATAAATATTTGAAAGTATATCAATACAAGATTATATATGAGAAGTTCATACATAAATAATTTAATGTTGAATTTGTTTATTTAAATATGTAACTCATAGTATATGAATACAAGATAATATAGGAGATTCATTATAATTGTCACTAAATTTTTTTTAAAATAGTAACCAAGTATTTTTGTTGCAAAGGGTTCTAATATATTTAATGACTGCACATACAAGATCAATGAATGAATTAACCGTATCAATCATTTAGGTGTTTTGCTGTTCATTTAGTTCAACCATTATTGTTGAATGAATTATTATGGATAAAGAAATTTCTAATTTAAATATTTAGATGAAATAGTAAAAATTTAAAAATTTTAAATATAATGTAACCCATAGATATTGGACAGTTGGTAAATATGATGTAATCCAAAGATCAAAATGCTAAAGATGGTGTTTGGTTATTCAACAGTTTGGAGCAACAATTTGTTCCAAGCGTTTTGGAGAATGGTTTCCCCAAAACACCCCTGTATTAGAAGAAATGTTTACTGTAGAGTCGTTTCGACTCCTTGAATAACAAGAGCCAGTTTAACATGATTGGTACGTTTTTACATACCTATTATATATATAGGCCAGGCCTGTAGGCCTGGAAGCCGAGCCTGGTATATATAGGCTGGTCTGTTTAGCTTAACAAGCTTTAAAATTGGTCCAAGCTTGACCTTTTTACTAAACAAGTTAGGCCTAACTAGGCCTTAATTAGGCCATGACATTAGCCACTAAAAGGGGCCATGCCTATTCTAATCCTTATGGAATGACCCCTCACATCTCGACCCGACAGAACATCTTTGTACCTAAGAAGTTGGTTACCAGCATGATTATATACTTTTTTTCTTATCAATCCTCTTTTTTTTTTTTTGTAATAAATCTTTAAATCTTTAAATTATTATTACAATATTCTAATAATTTCTTGGTTCATTTGGATTGCCCTAGCTTTATTAGTTAGTAATTTACTTTCATTAAATTTATATTCATATGGTAATTTGACTACATGTTTTTTCCTATCACCAAACGGCATTGAGCATATATAAACACAATTCTTCTTCTAATTTTTATTGGAAATGTCTTATTTTATTTTTCATTTCTTGAGTTCATAATTTTTCTTCTATTCTAAGACTTCTTTTAAATATTTTTTGAGAAAATTTGTTTGGTTTTATAAGGAACTAATCTTGAAGAAGTTTAGTTTTTGGAAAAGATTGACATCATGGGTTGTTACTCAATAATAGCATCCTCAATAATGTTGATTTTTTGATGTTTTTGCTATGCCAAATATAAGAGAAAATAGAGAGGGAAAAGGAAAAATAGATGAAAAAAAAAATCTGACATGAAAAAAAAATAATAATAGTCATTTTTGTTGGGCGCGCATAAAGCGCACTTGCGACTTCGTTTAAGCTTTTCATCAATTTTAATGGGCCCACAAAAATTTTGAATTTGCAGGAAGAAAAATCACTAAAAAACTCCACTTCGTATTTATGCAAAAACAATGCACTTTATTTTTTCTTCCTCAAAACTGAACAAAAACTCCTAATGAGATTTCTCTAAATAAACTTAAACAATATTTTTTGCCCTGACATTTGTGTCTCTATCCTTTTTTCTGCTACAGAGAATGGGTATATCTACAAATATAATAAGAGTCAATAAAGTTAAGTCCTTAACGAAAACAAAAAAAAAAAAAAATGTTAGTATAATTGTTTATTGAGATGAATGGTTCATATTATTTAGATTTTGGTTTTTTTTCATATTATTTAGATTTTAGTTTTTTTTTTTATGATTTTCCTTATTTACCCTCTATTATATTATTTTATTTCCTTAAATAACCATGCATTTAGTTAGAATAAAGTTTAGTAACAGAATATTCCGTTTACTATTTTTTATTTTAACTTACTCATTAATTTCTATAAGAAAGGTCTTAGGTTCGAACATCATCCCAATCATAGTTGGCATAATTGTTAAACATATACTATGAATATGTTAAAAATAAAATAAAATATAAAATTTAACAAAAACTTTGATCAAATAATTAGCCGGACTAAATACATATCATTCAAAGTTGAGCATCAAAGATTATAAATCATGAACCTTGAAAATTATTTTCTTTCATTTAAAAAAAATTATGTTAATTTCTTTTTTCTTTTTTTTTTTCGTTTAATTAATCTTCTTTTGATTATTTAGAACAAAACTCAATATTTTAATTATGTTTTTGCATTATTAGGAATGATTTAGGTCATTATAGTATTAGTATTTTTTGTATGTGATGGTACAATTATACATTACTTTGCAAATATTGTACTATTATTTTTTTTATTGGACAAAATTGTTCTTACATTATTCTAGACATACGAGACCTAACTACAAAGTTGTTGATTCGAAATACAACTACACCTGAACTCTAAAACGGTAGGATCATTTTTCAAAGAATTGATATTGGTGACATCTCACTAGCTCCAATTGAACAAGTTTACACAGCATTCTCAGAATTTTATCAATGCATGAAAACTTCTGAAAAACGTTTTAAGTTAATTTTTACTATATCATTATAACAATATCTATTGTAACCATATATTTCAAATTATTTATTATCATCCTCTATTGACATCAAATGTATCAATTGTCATTGACAAATTTCCAAAACAATTTGTCTCAACAATGAATGGAAATTAAAAAAAATCAATGACTTCATTGTTGTGTATGAAAAGTAAGTACCCCTTTATTACTCTTATTATATTAAATAAATTAGTAGTTACAACAAAAAATAATACATACGCATTTAATTATATTAGAATTAGATGTCTATAATGCATTTATTAAAAAAATTTATTCATTATAAAAAAAAATTAAAAAGAGATATAATTTCATTAGTTATATTATCTTTATTTTCTACAATTCAAAGATTCTTTGCCTTCAAATTCATTAATATTAATTATGTTCACTACATTGTTTATTGTCTTCTTTTTACATTATCTTGTAATTAAATATCAAAGTTATAAGAAAAAATATATTATATATTTATTTACTAAGTATTTTATACAAATATAATAAGTAATAATATTTTGTTCAATACTTTCATATGATAATCTACGACACATATCTCACAACATGTGAAACATGTAGGGGAAAAAACTATCAATGCTAAATATCAACATGCACTTGCAAGATAAAGAGTCCATAGTACCACTAAGATCCCAATCATATACGCAACAAAGCATGCAAATCTTAAACTTCCTACACCATAGTTTCATTGCATGACGTTGTCATTTATGCTATATACCACCAGTAACCCAATTGCACATGACACACTACCAATAAAAAAATATGACAAGTACTGAATATGAAAACAATGACAATGCTACCCAAAAGAGAATTAAGAAGACTTAAAAAATTTAAACAAAAAATAGCATTTATTTAGACTATCGTTTTTAGACTAAGTAATTAAACTAACGCTTTTACAAAGTTACAAACATTTATTTAAGTGACAATTATAATCTCTCATGTATTATCTTGCATTCATATACTTTGAATTACTGATTTAAATAAACAAATTCAACCTTTAATTACCTATGCATGAACATCTCCTATATAATCTTGCATTGATATACTTAGAAGTACTTATTTAAAAATAAATATTTAGTATTATCTCATTCGTGCAATGAGCTTGAAAAACTAGTAACACTAAAATAATAATAATAATAATAATAATAATAATAATAATAATAATAATAATAATAATAATTATTATTATTATTATTATTATTATTATTATTATTATTATTATTATTATTATTATTATTCAACTACAATTTCATTTGACAATATATACACTCAATATGTGAGACTTACTATTTAGTTTCATTTTATAGACATTGTAGTTTCATTACAACATCTCCAAAGTATTATTCTAATTAAACTACAGTTTCATTTAATAATATACATTTAATATGTGAGACGTGTTATTCATTTCATCTTATGCACAATGTAATTATATTACGACATAACTAAATTATCATTCTTATTCAACTACATTTTCATTTGATTATTTACCTTCTATATGTGATACATGTTATTCAGTTTCATTTTATACGCACGGAGTTTAAAAAATTACAACACTACTAAAGTAACATTCTAATTCAACTACAATTTAACTTGACAATAATATATATTCAATATGTAATATCTGGAGTTAATTCCATGAATGATTCATTGACTATTGTCATTTATCCATTTTTATTCTTCGACTTTTAATTGGACCATAAATGGTCCCTTGGCTATTGATCTTTACAAATTTTCGTCATTGACTTTCAATTTAACCATAAGTAATCCCTTGATTATTGGTTGTTTTTTTTTTCAAATTTAGTCTTATAGTTAAATATCATTTTAATAAGCATTAAATGTAAGGGTAATAATATAAAAAGTTTAGTTCTTCACAATGATGAACTCAACGTACTTCGTATTAAATTTATGAACTCAATTTGTCCATCTCAACAACAAGCTAATTGTTACATTATTATTCTTAAATTTAATATTTATTAAATGAATATATTTAATTGAAGGGCCAAAAATTTGAAACAAAATAAATAGCCAAGGACCATTTATGATCATATTCAAAGTCGGTAAAAATTGATAAAGATCAATAGTCAAGGGACCATTTATAGTCCAATTAAAAGTTAAATGATAAAAATTGATAAATGTCAATAGTCAATGGACCATTCATAAAATTAATTTATAATATTTGTTATTCAGTATCATTTCATAGACATTGTGTTATTACAAAAAATAAAAATAAAAAATGAGCGCACCTCAAAATATAATGAACGTAAATCATTTCTTTTCATTAAAATAATGGGGGCCATTTTAGCCATGGTCCACGGCATAATCATCAATTCATTGGTA